CTGCCGGCTGCTGTGCCGGCGGGCGGCCCGGGTCCCGCCTTCCCGTCAGCCCTGGAAGCGCTCGTTAGTCAGACGGATACAGATGTATCAAACATTGATAGCTCAGAGTTAACCCTGGCCCTCTCTCTGTAGTCTTCCACGCTATGAAAAATAGAAACGTTGTACATCACCAATAGAATGATAGAATCGTTTAGGTTGGGAAAGACCTTTAAGATCATCAAGTCCAACCATTAACCTAGTGCTGCCAAGGCCACCACTAAACCATGTCCCTAAGCACCACATCTACCTGTCTTTTACATACCTCCAGGGATGGGGACACAACCACTTCCCTGGGCAGCCTGTTCCAGTGCCTGACTACCCTTTTGGTGAAGGAAGTTTTGCCCAATATCCAACCTAAACCTGCCCTGGCACAACTTGAGGCCGTTTCCTCTTGTCCTATCACTTGTTACTTGGGAGGAGAGACCGACCCCCACCTCGCTAAGGTCTCCCCTCGGCCTCCTCTTCTCCAGACTAAACAACCCCAGCTCCCTCAGCCGCTCCTTGTAAGACTTGTGCTCCAGACCCTTCACCAGCTTCGTTGCCCTTCTTTGGGCACGCTCCAGCACCTCAATGTCCTTCTTGTAGTGAGGGGCCCAAAACTGAACACAGTACTCGAGGTGCGGCCTCACCAGTGCTGAGGACAGGGGAGCGATCACTTCCCTAATCCTGCTGGCCACACTATTCCTGATACAATGCATAGACTTAAAAGAATTTATTTTGCCTGAAATTTAAATAAAACAAGAAATATTCATAAAAACTAAGTCCAAAAGATGCTAAAAAGCAAGGAGATACTTCAAACAAAAGCAGCTTCTCTTACCGAGCCACTATGAACTTAACCTGTCAGTATCAAAGAGTATAGAGCAAGTGTGGTAATGCTTTAGAGGATGACCTCCTGTTCAGTAATAAGAATACAGACTATTACATACAGCGATCATTATAGTCTAAACAGCAGCATCTAACCTCTTCCTCACAACTCTACCTCTTCAAACATTTTGACACGTACATGAGTGCTCCATATTCTTAACACACAAATCAGTATTTCTATTTTCATTTTCTATTGGCATGTATTGATTACACAATGAAGACCCTCTAAATAAATGTAATTTTAAAAGCTGAGACTTTGCATGGCTTACCTGGGCCCAGAAGAAATATAATCATCAGGGTCCGAAAAAAACTGCATGTAATTCACATTGCTTGAGTCAGAAGTCCTGTAGTAAGAGAATTCATCTCAAAAATGGAATTTACAACTTATTCAAGTACCTCGCTAAGTTCCAAATGCTTATGAAAGGTAATGTACACTAAAAAGAGAAAGAGATTAATTTTGTTATGCTCAAAGAAAAATTAAATAGGGTAAAAGTATTTGAAAATGCTCAAGAAAACACACACCAGTTCATGCATCAATTTGCCCACCTCATTGTTCCCATTGTACAGGTAAGTTACATGCATTAACGTAGACCCCTGATAGAGGCAGATACAGAGCTGAAAGGTCCCTTTGTGAGTCTTTAACCATTAAACTGTGTATTTTTGTCATTTGATGATAGAATTATAACCTTCTGCATACATTCAGTTTGCCTCGTACCTTCCATTAAGCAGATTACACTGAAATTGTCGTTCTTCATCAAATTTTAAGAACACATTAGAGCAACAGTACTGATGCATGCAATCTCCACAGCAGAAGTTGTGACAGGATTTTGCAGGTTGTGCCTTGCCATGACGATCAATATATGCCTGACAATCCTCACCCAAAACTGAAAAAAGTCAAAATCCCATAGTTAGTAACTAAAGAAATAATCATATAAAGTCTCTTTCTCAAACTGACCATCTCACCTAGGTTAACATTTAAATATGTTTCAAGTATTTTGGTTAGGTTTTAAAAATCAATTATTTCCTTTTTAGAGTATAGCAAAGGCAAATACTTACTCCTTGCACACAAAGTATCTCATCTTCATCAAGTAGCTCTTCCCAACTGTTTACACACACATAAAAGACTAAACTGCACGCAAATATACTTACAAGATGTTCTCTCTTCACTACACCCTCTAGTAGCTACTACATTACTGTAAAGACTCAAAGAGCAACATGACTAGCCAGATATGTTAAAAAACGCACACAAGCCCTAACATCAGTTAGAAGAAAACATTAAATTTTCCTAGATGTTTGACTTGCTGCAAAAGATGCAACACAACTGCATTCACTGTAGATCTGGATTTCCACGTGACTTGGTTGTTTTCTACCTGTCACTTTGTTTACTTCGTGGAAAATCCTAATCCTGCTAACCCATGGCATAAAACAGAGATGTCATAAACCAGAGATTCCTAGGACTAAAATCGGTCGAGTGGTGCCTTCCCACAGCAAGCATCAACTGGCGCAGCTACAATGGTAAGGAAATGGAGATGTTCATGTACTAGGATGGATTTCTTAAGGGACATCCCATGTTTTCAGCACTGCATTGCATTGGGCTGCTACATTCCTTAACATACTGTTTTCTCTCTCTCTTTGCCCTCTCAAGCCTGAATGACTGCAATGTAAGAACGACACATTAAAAGCTTCCAACGGTCACATAAAAATACTTCTCAAAGCTTAAGCAAAAAGCATTTCCCAAGAAGAATTGTTGGCAAACAGTATCATTACAGTTTTCAGTGATAAACGCTGCAGCCAGCTGGTTTCTATTCCTCTGACCATTTCAGTCACGCTGTAGCTCAGCCCTCAGACAAACTGCGATCCTTTACTACTCTGACCAAGTTAAATGTCCTCTTGCATATCCACTAAAGATCACATTTATCCTTCCAGCATGTCTGCGCAGAATTTGATGCATCAGATGAAGTGACACCACTGATACATACAGTATCAAGAGCACTTCTCCTTTTCTGAGACTTCACCTGATAAGTCCTATGATTACATCTGCTTTTTCTCATCACATGACAAAGTTGGGGAAGACCACACACTCCATCCTTTAAGCACAATAACAAGATAGTTAGAGATAGGGCTGCTGAAAAAAACCCAATTATCAACGTTAGCATCTGGTAGCTACGTATGAACTCAATTTATATAAGCAGTGCTGTTCGTGCGATACCCTCACTTAACACCTAAGTAATTATATTATCTTGCCCTAGAAGGCTAAAATTTACAGTGTCGGGGTAAAAAGGTGAAGGTTTTTAATGGGATGTGTCAAGAGTGACTGGCAGCCACTTTGTGATACATTGTTTCTCCCTCAAGAATCTTACCTTAGGTTTACCAGTAGACAGCATTCATTAGGGGGGTCCACGCAGTCATTACTGGGGCACTAATTGCTCCTGTCTAACAACGCACACCGGTATCAACACAAACCTACCTCACTTTCAGCGTAACTTTTCTCTCAGTGAACCCAATTCGCACCAAAACCACTGTTCCATGCCGGGGTGAGGGCTGGCGCTGGAGCCAGGGCGTGTGGTTTCGGGGGGCCATGTCGGCCCTCACCCCAGCGTGGGCGGGACACGTCCACCGCCGCTTGGGTGGCTGAGCTGAGAGGGGTCTCTGCTCGAGGCCAGGGGCTCCCCCATGCCGAGGGCTTCGGCAGGGCCTCCCCGGGGGACGCAGCCCCGGCCGCAAAGGCGGCCGGCAGGAGCCCCCAAAGCCGCCTCAGAAAGAG